TGATGGCTCACCCACTGCCACAGAAACTTGCACCAAAACTCCCAGTTTTCTTTCCTTTCCAGCAAAATTTCCACTTTTGCAGCAATAAAGCAGGGCAAAATAACCCATCTCTCAAGTGTGGGATGAGGAATGGGGAGCTTTTTCCATGGAGGGTTTATGTGTCTAGGGAATAAGCAGAGGTGTGGGTTGCTAGAGATGGGAAGGGGACAGGGAGAAAGGTTTATTTTTCATGGATGTGGTCTGAGATCCCACCCTGGTTTGTATGGATGCAGTTTGCTCCTCTCTGGGTCCCTGTTTAGTTCAGAGCTACATCCAACACACTTCCACATTTGTGCCACCTAACATTATAAACCTAATTAATATTTCTATATTATAAAGTGCCGGTGTAGTGGTTATCTCAGCTCTTCAATTTATTTAATTTCTTTTACAGCTTTGGCTTTTCCCCACATTTTTCATCCCACCTGCTGGTCAACATAACCCAGGAGCAGAGCAGGGGAATGTTTCCTTCCTTCTTTGATGCCCCTGAACAAGTTTTTGGAGGTCTGATACACTCTTGAAGTAGTGAATTATTCAAGGTTTGCAATCTCATGGCTTTCTAGCATAGGAAACCCAGTCTCTAATCACATCTCATATTTTCTAATGTAACTACTTCATTTCAATATTGATTCTTCCATGATTTATTGCTGTTTCCTTGCTTTTGATTACTGCTTCAGTCAGGTGGATGGGCACTGCTCAGTACAGAGTCCATGTCTGTGTGTCTCATAACTACAGGCAGTTAGAACTGAAAAACTGTGGATTGCTCTGAAAATGTCCTGAGACACCCACAGATCAGCCTGACATCGAGATTATTTTCAACTTCTTCCACCCTGAGGTGACCCTGTCAGGAAGAGCTGCAGGTGCTTCATCCAGTGTTCCTGCAGAGCCTCGTGGTCACAGCTCCTGTTCCTCTGTCCGTCTGTCATCACCACTGCCAGCACAGAAACTGTCAAGCTGTTCTTATTTGGAGCACCAACATGAAAACTGCCCTGGGTTATGTCTGTAGGGGCAAAGCTGGGACACTGAGAGCCTTGAAGAAGTTTGTTACGGAGCTGCTGACAGGATCAGTTGGCATCAGTTGTGGTTAAGAGCTGGGAGGTCACAAAAAGACGTGTTGGTTGGCCTTGGGATATTGTTTTCTGTGGGTATTTCTGCCCACCAGCAAGAGCAGTGCTTCTGTGTGTCTCTTGGAGAACCCCAGGGGTGCTCCTGCCCCTTCCCTGGTGGGCCAGGGTCGTGTAAGCACCTTCTGGGTGACTCCACCACCTCCCTGGGCAGCCTATTCCAATATCTAATCACCCTTTCTGGGAAGAGATTTCTCCTAATGGCCAACCTAAACCTCCCCTGGCACAGCTTAAGACTGTGTCCTCCTCCTCTTTCTCTGGTTACCTGGGATAAGAGGCCTACCCCCACCTGGCTATCCCCTCCTGGCACAATGTAGACAGTAACAGAGCAAAAGATAATTTGAAGAAGTAGTCAATAAAACATTTCCAGTATTGGTATTCCCGGTTCTTCCTATAAAAAGATACGTGTCCGTTTTAACTGACTTTAATTCTAAAGAACTTGAAGAGTTCTGAGTCAAGGATGAGGCAGAGCAGCACTCAGCTTGAGTGTTGGTGTGAGCAAAGAGGGAAGCCTGGGAGAGAAATGGAGGCCTGACCATAGCAACCTGAGAGAATACACATTGAACATTGTAGCAGGGTGAGGAATTTTGTGTTTTGTGTTCATGGCGTGTGTGTGACAGTGGGAAAGACACCCATGAGGATCTTGGATGCTGTTAGTTGACCTTCCTGCAGCTATTTTTTCATCTCCTTCTGAAAATCGGTATTTCACAGCCTTGACTGAGCCAGCTAAATTTTGCTCCTTATCCAAACTGGCTGAAGAGATGTCTTCAGGACTCCACAGAAGCAATTTGAGCCAGAGAAGTGTCTCAGGTCTCACACTTTTTAGGGTTTGTACACAAACCCGTGGTGTGCATTCCAGATTCCGGATACTCCAGTCTGCAGGAGGAGTTAGAGATTTATTTTCCACTCTCATACACGTTTGTTTTGTTTGATTTTTGCCACACAAACGCTGGGCTCCTGCACTTGGAGGGATCCTTCTTCT